CACTTTTACCATGAAACTGTGTCTCAACCATTTGGTAAAGGCCTACAATCAAAAACTATGGGTTACAAACAACATAAAACCAAATGATTTGTTATTAGCACTCCCAGTGCTCCAAAAATAAAATAATTTAATTGCTTTTATATGACAAGCTTTTGTTTGACATTATTGTGATGGTTATGTCAAAGCTGTGAGCCAATTATGAACCATTCAAAAAAAGTTAGAGCTTGATAAATTTCACTTTCTGTAATGAGTCTGTCATATCATTTACATTGTGAGTAAGTAAGAGAAGTAAAAGGACTTTTGAACGGTATTCTAATTTTCACGTGTTTGTCCATAATGCACAGGGACCTATCTTTTAGCTCTCTCTATTACATGTTTCTATAAGACAGTGACCTGTGAGTTAAATAAGTGATACAATAACATAAATAGTAAAACCGCCCCTTCCCTTTTTGTGACTGATGTAGTAAACTAAAGCCGACTGGAGTAGTGAAGGTGACAGCATTGTGTCCCTGTGGTTTTAAACTTTAAACACTTCGGCCCTGTCCACTTAGGCCGCTTTGCGGCACATTTATCAGACCGCCCTTTCCCTCGGGCTCTGTGTGGAAAACAGCATGCACCCCGCGCTCCGCTGCACACACACGATTATTTTTTGAGTCAGTTTGAGGGCAGATCCGTGTGCATTTGGACAGAAAATACGTCCCGGGACTGTGGTTCGACCCAGTGACTTACAAACGGGGGTACGAGGCGGCTAGAACAGTAACCTTCACATTGTGTTCACGGCACAGGGAGCAGAAGTTGGGACAAACTACAGACCTGTGTTCCAACTCTACCAGGACGCTCCATTTGACATTAACATTTGTACAATCGGAGGTTGGGGAGTATGTGCACTGATGTGGAAACAAAAAAAGAGGAAAAATGACTTAACACAAGAAATGAAATGTAATGAAGGTGTAATGATGCTGTGGCTTAACCTTTCGCTTTAACCTTTACCTGAGAGAGATGATTTCCAAACATGGACATGGAGGAGGGAGCCCATGGTTTCCATACCGGTCTCTTTGTATTATATCTAACGTATAGTTGTATTAGTCTGGGCTCAAGGGCTGTTCAGTCGAGTATATCGAGGCAGCACGCCAGGGCAAGACATGCACTTGTGGAGAAGGCCAATCAGGGAAAAGAAGGGGGAGTGATGACTTTTCAGAATCCAGTTTGAAGCCAAAATAATAAAAATAAGAGCAGACACTTCCTTCAAAACAACTTTCATTCTTTTACTTGCAGAGGTTTCAACTTCATGTCATTTCAAACAGAAGAAAGGACCTTTTAAATCTATCTCCTTCTCGGACTAATGCCATCTTTGTATTTATGGCTAGCTCAGGACATGACATTCAGCTCTGCAACAGCCAAAAGGGTCATTTTGGGACTCACATGGCTCTGACTTTCAAATGTTAAATAGTTACAATGTTTTCCATGAACAAGACAAAAAACAGATTTTAAGAAAATATAAGGAAAATATAAGGAAAATCAAACATAATTTTTTCCAAAATATTGATTTGTCATAGAATGTTATGAAATTATCTCTTCACCTCCATCTGATGGTAAAAAATTTATATTACGTTATTCTATTTCTGACAACATTATATATTGCACCCTGCAATTATAGCTACGTTGTCATTTGCCTGGAGAAATGACCAGCAATATTTTGATTTAAAAATCTGTTCATATTGTGAATATTCATGAAGTGTATTGGTTTAAGATAAGAGCATTTAGACAAAAGCGGTGGAAACGTAACCTTGCCTGCAAACTGAATTCTCGCGGTATTTGTGAGTTCACAAACACTCTAGAATACATCTTGTCCCGCTCCCGCCAACCCTTTTCGAGTAGAACATCTAGGTGTTCAAGCCAATCACGCGTCAGTCTGGGGGTTTAGGGCGGGATATCCGGGTTTGACGAAAGCAAGAAGTGCCGGGCCGAAGCAAAACAAACATGGCTACGCAGGAGGACGGACGCGTAGCTGAGGCTATCAAGTCCGTTTTAGCAGAATCTCCAATTTCTTTATTGAAAGATGAACAGCGAGAGGCGCTTTGTGCACGCCGATGACGACATAATGTTACCGGGATTGGTTTAAGTCAAACCTTGGTAGGCGGGCACACAGCGTCACTTCGCCCAATCAGCTTGAAGTATTCTGCTGCTTATCCCTCCTTTCCCCGAAAGGATTCTCCTGCAGAAGTCCCAGATTGATATTGTGGAGAACGCATTAGAGTTCTACACAATCATCAATCTGGCTCTTGCCAGGTTAGTGGAAACGCAGTCAAATAGCAATGATATACAGTAGAATACAAATGATATAATAGCTATTATTTATTTTTAAATGAAAATGTTTATATTAAAAACATTTAATGATGTATTTTTTCGATCAAGCCTTGAACAATACCATAATGTTACGCCGCCTTAATGAGTTTTTGTCACATAAACACATTGGAAGCAGACATCACTGGGGAATAGAAGCTGCCGGAGTACGAGTTAGTACAGGGTTGGGTTCAGACTAAAAAAAACTACCCTTTAAAAACAAAAAGTCCAATTAGAATGACCTTACTGAAGCCCAGTCTATCTATAGTCCATTTCTCCTGCTCCAGTTTGGCAATGAGGGCCTGACAACTCTCTTCTGGCACATCAGCTGTCATTTTAAAACCACAGAGTCTCTCCTGTCCATATACTACACACGATTCAGAATAAAAGCATACAACTGTGTCACTGCGCATTTGAGCATCATTTCTCCTGACACCAAACGCTTAGTTTTACAAGACAACGGGACGAAGTGTGACGTTACGACGAGGGACCAGGATGATACAGATTTGCCAAAGAAGTTTAAGCAGAAAAGTATTTACACAAGTAATCCTTTAAACTGACACAACTTTGTGCAGACGTCTGTGTGAAGAGTAGAACAAGACATTTTTAGATCAATCGTGGCTTTGAAAATTCACGGCATATAGGGACTTTGAGCTTTTAAACAAGTCACACTCCTTTTACTTCTGCGTTGGTTTGATGTGATTATAATATGCAGTCAGATGCAAATGTGTGTGTGTGTGTGTGTGTGTGTGTGTGTGTGTGATTAGGAAGATGTTTGTTCTGCACACACACAACTGATAAAGTAAAGTAACGGCAGGCAACCTTTTCACATAACCCTTTAACGATACAATCAATAACAATGAAGTCCAACTCTATTTTTACATGTAAGTTACTTGAAACCAACATGACAGAGTTATGTGTAAATGGCTTAACGTTACTTAACTTTGCATCATTTTACTTAGATTGCAGCTTGTTATACTTTGTGGAGTCTGATTTGAGGCCAAAACTATTTATTCTTTTTTATTTTGTTTTTATTTTTATTTCAGACATTCACCAGACATGTACACACAAGACACACAACACAACATACGCAATGACAATTCCCACCCACCAGGCAACCTCATAACAAAATACACAAGCCCGCAGACAGATGCATAACTAACAGGCAAGACAAAAAAAAAAAAAAAAACATATAACAAACCAAAATAAAAAAAACATTGAGACCAAACACACACAAGTTCCCGAGGCCTTCATCCACTAATCCATTCTCTCATTTCCCATTTTCTATTCATTTACTTTTCATCTATTCATCCATCTATTTATTGATCCACTTTTTTTTTTAAATCCATTTATTCTTTATTATGTGACGTATGTGATGTGATGTAGGATGGGCTATAAGCAAGTTGCTTCAACCCAATCCTTTTTTGGTTGTAGTATAATCAGTCAATGTAATATCTGTCATTAATCAAGCAATTGACCAAAAATAAATAAACTAATTCATTTGTTATATAACGGTACATTGACACCATAGGTCATACACTAAACTTGGTCACTGTGGCCTCTGATGCAAACTCAACATAATAATACATCTAAAGGACTATATATACTATGACAAAGGATGCTGGATAGTCTCTCAGTCGTCCTGAGCTGGAGAGCAAAAACAAAATATTTTTTTCCCCCCACGCAAATGACGCAAAAATAACATCAAACAAAGCTGTGTACCTTCCCTACAGCATGTGTTGATTTCTCATCATTTATCCAACCACTTTATTCCTCACGTTATTCAAAGTAAAATTTCAAATACCAAAAGCCATTTTGAAAGACTCACGAAACAAACTTTTCCTACAACACCTATAAACTGAACTCACTGCCCACACTTGCATTTAAAAATTAAGAGGTACCGTAAAGGCTGGACTATAATCTATTTACCTATAAAGCATGTATTATTATTATTATTTTGAGTCCATCCAGTTTTAGCAGTTTTAGGGCGCTTGTTTATTTACCACCTTCGTCCATCACAGTGAGTCAACAGTGCGTTAAAACCTCATCTTTAAATCGTGTTATGTCCAGTTTTAAGTCGGCTTTCTTTTAGTCCACAGGAGGACGGCTGCTCTCTGAGTGTGAGCATAGCCTTGATCTTTCAGTGGGGGCTTTGGGCAAAGTGGGGTTAAGTGTCTTGCCCAAGGACACAACGACAGCAGTCATCAGTGGGAGTCGGTGGAGAAGGTGCAGAGGTGGGAATTGAACCCACGACCTTCTGGGCTTAAGGCCAATGCTCTACCAACTGAGCTACTGTCGCCGGTTTATGTATGTGGGTGTGTTTAATTGTCCAGCAAGTACTGTATTTTGTATGCAATTGTTCTAGTGTGGATACAACCTCAGTTAGACTGCATTGTCCCAAATAATTACATCAATATTGGGAAAAAAACAAACAAAAACAATAATATTACATTGTTTGCTTATAAGGTACAGAAGCCTTTTTAGCTTGTCTCAGGATAAACCAATCATACGTATGTTGCTGACGACACTTGAAAGATAGATTAAAGATCCTTCCAATAATGTAAACTCTATTCCACGTGAATGGCCCTTGTGTTTTGTAGTTCAGTCATTATAATGCACTTGTCCCAAACAGCAGCTGGACACTGGTGACCACTCACCCATGACCCGGAGCTTCTCTGCGCCCACCACCACCTCGTCCTCATCCGCAGAGAACAGCAGCTTTCCCGACGTGGACTTCACCTCAAACGCTTTTCCTCGTACTTTCAGACCACTCGACCCTGACAAAAGAAAGAAAAACAAGTCTATCTTTTAACCTCTGCACAAACACATGAGGCTAACAAATAATGTGTTTAAACAACTTTAAAATGCAATAATATGAAACATTAGCACAAAGCCAATCACTGTTAATCATAATAATAACTTAAGAAATACATAAACACATTTCTATTGTGTTTGCCTCTGCCGGTTCAATGAATAATTCTTAGAATAGCAAGAGAATAGCACGTGTTTCATTCAGAAATTGAAGTATAATAATAATAATAATAATAATAATGAATTGTAAATCATTTTTATTTTTTTCACAAATGTGTGGCCCTGCAGTTCACGGACACAGATCACAAGTAGCCGTTTTGGAATAGGACACACATAAAGACTGACAGAATCAATCAGGTTCAGACACAGCTCGGCAGGAGATGGACACAAACGCACTGTAGCTTGTCTGCCTTTTATTTTCTAAAGCAGCGAATCAAAAGCAAGTGACATTCAGAAAACGTGGGGGAGAACACACACACACAGTTATTTTTTTCACTTAGAAAAGAAAGTGTTCACCTTTTAATACCATACAATACAGTGAAAACACGATCCATGCTTCTACTATTGTCACATTTCACATTACCAGACAACTTCTTTATCCTTTTGGCCCTGGCCCTGAATCATCAACAAAACATAACATTTCTTGAATATTATCTTCAGTTTCCACTGTCCGCCTGCTTTCCTCAAATCCGTCGATTCCAACCTCCTCACTCCTGTCAGAACAAAGTGTTGCACCCTGGGAGACCGAGCCTTCTGCAGCTGCCCCTACTCTGTGGATCTCTCTCCCACAATATATTTCACAAACTGAAACTCACTATAAGAACTTTAAATCACTGCTCGAATCTCACCTGTTCTAAACTACCTACATTTAACTGTTTATTTTAGCTTCCTATGTTTTATTTTATTTCTTATTATTATCACAATTTCATCTTATTTTAACCTCTTAAACTGAAAACTCCTATGTTTTAGCTCGTGCACAAAAGTTTGGCATACCCAAATGTCTTTGCTTATTTAAAAACACATCTTACATCTCACATGCTTGTGTGATGCATAATTTTAAAGCTTCTAGTTTATGTAAATATACACTGAAATAATGCATGTCATTCCTATTTCACTCTGCATCCTTTGAAGTTTGGGGAAAAAAAACTGTTTTTTTTTAGCCTCGCCTAAAAAAATCTATGTATAAATGCCCTAAAAAAGCCTACTTCATTGGATGAAGAAAAAAATCAACGCTAATTTGTTCATTGTATTGTTGACAACAACTGTGTAAAGTTTCAGACTTCTAAGTTTTATAGTTTTTATGCAGTTTCTCTTTTTTATCAAGTAGTGCCATTCAGAACCAATTTGGCAAAATGTGTGCTAAATTGTGCCAAACTGCTTTACTAACATTTCACCATCACAAAAAGCAATTTTTTTAATGGATGTGGTTCGTCTTTTTCACAAGGGTCCTGCGGACTGAAACCTGCTCCTATCTTTTCAAGGAACCTCTTTTTTTGAAGCTAAGCCCTCAAGGAACACGTGAATATGATGTTTGTGGGGGTAAACAAAGCTCAAACTTGGTGAAATGTGAAAGAGGAGTCTGAACCTCTTTTGGAGCGTTTTTTTTTTTGCAACAGAAAAATGCACATTTTTGGATTATTTCTGAAGAATGGATTATACTTTGGGAAATACAAGTGGATATTCTTTTCCAATGAAGACTTACGGAGAGAAACTGAGCAAGGATGGGGAAAGTCTAATTTGTTGGAGCAGCAGAAGACAAAAGGTAAGAAACTTATACAAACGTGATTTATTTTGTGACCATATTATGCGTTATATCTTTTTAATGCAAAGTCTGATATCGTTTACACTTACATATAAATATAGATGAGAAAATAAGCGTTAAAATGATATATACAGTAGCTTGTGGCTTTTGAAGTTCAAAATACATCTGCTATTACCAGCGGATGTATTTTTTTTCTCGTTTGCTTGCAAGCTTAAGAGGTAACTTGTGTCCAAAAAAATGTAAATGTAAAACAATGTATTATCCCTATAAATGAATGATTCAGTTTACTTTTTGCTTTTCAATAGACATGTTTTGCCATTATATTATTGGTGACAAGGGCAAATTTCACCACATATATTGATTTTGTTTATCAGGCTGATCATAGAGCATTTAAAAAACCTTTCCTGGAGCGTGGACAAAGGTAAGATAAGATAATTATGAAGATAATGTTGATGCAAGATTCTCAATCATTTCAAAACATCAACATCATACGGCATGTATATGATCTATTATAATAACTGGATAGGCTTGGAGCTGAAGAATCCATGTGCTCGGGGGATTCTCGCGGTACTGCAGACTAAACCAGACTAAATTCACGTGGGCTACCCAGAAATTTTCCCCATAGAACTCCATGTAAACTAAAACAGCAGTTCTCAGCTGACAGAGAACCTACAGCTTTAATAAAGGTCGGATTTTGTGGGGATTTTAGTGTCCCTTGTCATCCCGAACTATTTTTCTTCTTATAACCTTTGGTTTTCTTTAAATTTACACTTTAGTGCCACAAACTCTGCTCGTCTGGCTCTCGCTCTAACTCCAGCTCTGATGAACTGCTCTGATTGGTCAGAGCGCGGCCGAGCCCTTCTGTGCGCGAGCATGAGAGCCACACATGCGTAATTTGCGAAATGCATCATGGGAGTTCATCCACTGCGCAGAACCGGGAGGACCAGACGATGCCCAATTACAGGCGAGTTTCTCATGGATCTTTGCAAGTTCCAGGCGGAGTTCCGCCAATCTTTCAGCCCCCATGCAGGCACAAAGCGCCACTGAGCACAAACCATTCATTTGAATATGGCGACATCTTGGATCGCTGGGGCTTGGTTTATATGCATAGGACAACTTATTGAACGGAATGAGTAGCACACAGGACAAGATACATGAACAATATTAAATCTATACTAATTAAATACAAATATAAATCTAGTCAAACGATATACTTTTGGACTGTACTTTATTGCCTCAGTTGAATGTTGAGTTTTTATCTTTCCAGCTCACTCTGCAGACTGTTACGCTGTTACAGGCCTTGTTTCCTTTTAGACAGCCTGGCTTGTTTTTTTTTTTTTTTTTTTTTTTTTTTTTTTCAGTGCTATTTTTTCTGTCCCTAGTGCTTGTCTGAAGGGTCACAGAGTTAAGTGTTTCACTAGATTTGATCCTGAAGCTGAACGGTTTGCGTTAGAAGTGATTTCATTCTCTCCGATGCAGCTCTGAGGACAAACGGACTGAATCACACAATCTATTTTTTTTTGCTCAGCACAAAAAAATAATACAGCAGCACACACCAGCACTTCTTGAGCATACAGCGCTTGAGTTAGCCCTCCAAAACTGGTATAGATGCATTTCAGTTCATTAGCATTCCATTTCTGAATTACTAACACATTGAACCAGATTTTAAGACTTCTTTCCTTATTAAGATTTTATACTGCTTATTTTTATGCTAGAGTTATAGATTCTTTAAACTTTCCCACTGTGGGACGAATAACCACTTTTACTCATATTAATAACGACGGAAGACAGAAAAATGAGGCAGAAATGTACTTCAACAGCTCCCAGCCAAAAGTCTCTACAGCTTTTACCCTCTACAGAGCCTTGGTTTTGACTCTACGTTAAATAATTTGACATCAGTGCCGAGACAAGAGTAGGAAACAGAGGCGTGTTGTTTTGACCCTCATTGGAGTTTCACCACAGGGATGCGTTAAAATAAAAGGTTGTCCAAACAAACTTCTGACTGAGTCTTCTAGTTCTAAGACTGTTTCTTTTTAGTCGTTCTTTGCCGATGCAGGAAGGTAAGATAAGAGAACCATTATTTGTCCCGCAGTGGGGAGATTTCGAAGGCTAATTTCAGGTCTCAGGACAGTGATTCGGGACTCGGCCAACTTTGTATAGTCCTCTGAGACAATTGCAGATGGAATTTAGGGCTATACAGAATACATTGAATTGAAGTCACAGGGCAGTGCACCCAGGATCAGAGGACTACAGCATGTTCATCATCCACATAGAGCAAAAAAACCTTTTCAAACCTGTCAACACTGTGCAATGTTTATACCCCAATTGTGTGTAGTTTTATAACCTTTTTGACCCAACTCCCATGTAAGCAACGATGAAGCTATGAAGCAGTTTGAGCTGTAGAGGGCAAAATATTAGTGAATTCTGTCGTTTATTTTGTTTCTCAATGAAATAATTAGAAACAATAAAAATACAAAATTGAATTATTTTGCTGAGTCAGTGGAAAATAGCAATAATACTAATGGCATTGGTTTTATATAGCGCTTTTTTGGACACTCAAAGGCACTTCACGTGTCATTCTTCTTTCACTGCATACACTGTGATGATAAACTACTATTGTAGCCACAGCTGCCCTGGGGCACACTGACAAAAGCGAGGCAACCAGTATGCGCCATCGGCCCCTCTGACCACCACCAACCAATCCAAACACCATCGCAGCTTTCCATAAATATTATCTATTTTTTATCATGAAAGACTTATCCACACACAGCTGCCTTAAACATGTGTATGTGTGTGTTGGTGTGTGCGTGTGTGTGTTTGCAGATTGGGGCCCGACCTGTGATGAGCTGAGTGAGCAGCTGGTTGTTGCTGTTGTAGATGTTGACCGACACGTTTCTGGACGACTGCAGGTACAGCGGGCGGCCCTGAGAATCACACAACACAGGTGGTCCGGGTGGGATTACATTTAAACAAGAACAGATGCTGCTGCTGTGATCCGCTGATCCAAACATTCGGAAGAACACACATTTACAGTTAGAAGTGACACATTTGGTGCTGTATGGTGGAAGTATGGTGGAAACGTGTCTATCTATTGATGATGAGCAAGTCAGATTTCTCTCAGCGGAAGTGTTAAAAAGGTGCAATATAAAGGATGCAATTTGATTTGAAGGTAAGTTGAGATGTATTTGTCATTCTTATAATAATACGACATAGTGAAACTTGGGTAAATGCTGTTGCTTGATTGTATATTTATGTTACTGTGAATATTTCAAATAGAATGTAAAATGTTTGTTTGAATGAATGAAATTAATCAATAATTTGGGTTTGGTAGAGTAATGTGTAAGGTATAATTTATTGGCCTTTTGTTTGGAAATGTTCTTATCTGCATTTGAACAATCCTTCTCGAGCAACCTGTTTAACACTTAAGCTACCCTCGGGTCATAATTACTCACCACAGATTAATAAAAATAGACGAAAAATACCTAAATTACGTTCTAAAAGGATCAAATTACTCAGGGCCAGTCAAGGTAAAAAATGTCATCAAAAGGGTTAGGGTTAGGGTAGCTCAAAAATGGTTATTTAAGGTATTTTAGAAAAAAGGGTTAAGTCTATACAGGGGTAGGTAAAAAAAAGAACGATCAATGACTTCATTAATTTGTAATTGACAACTATTTAACAAGTTAAGGGATTTGTGAATTGGGATTAACTTGATTCTGCTCTAGTCTAAACACTGAACAACCATTTCAACTTTGTACAATGCAAAATATATAAATAACACGCTCTTTTTGCAGTAAATTGCATGAAGATTGCAATCCAAGTGTCAAATTTCTTTCATATTTTAGATGTTTTTTGAGCTCGTACAAAGAACATCACTACACCACTCTTTGTCCCAAGTATAATTTCTATTGACGGAAAAATCTCTAAAGTTGAGTCTGCCAAAAGGTAAACCGATCACTGAAAGCAATTTTAGCGTGTGCTTTTTAAACCACATTTCTTATTTCAACTCCCCATGTCTTTGCCTCTCTGCACCGATTAGCGGCTCCTCCATTGACTGCGACTTCTAATTTACACCGGCTTTCGCACTCTCACAAAAGAACATCAAAAAACAGCCTGCCGAGGATCTCCAGCAACGGAAGCCCATTACCCAGAATGCCCAGCAGCGGCGTCACATGCGGATCACGTATAGGACAGCGCACGGCCTAATCTTCACGCCTCAGTCAACTTCTTAATTAGCGATAACGTTGCAACTATTGTGGCTTTTTAGCAAAGTCGCGCTGCGTGCTTGTTACAGATAACTTTATGTGCGCGGCTGAATGCGGCGAGGTCATGTGTGCTTTCGGAAGGATACACACAACGCCAAGTGGAGTTATTAGAGGAATGGACAGATAACGTATCAGCCGGCCGGACGGACAAATACGTGACGTCGCCGAACAGCAGCGGACAAAGAGAGAGCGCTTTGAATGAGTCGAGTCGGAGAGAAATGACAGATTATGTTTGTGAACTACCGTGGAAGTATGAAAAGAAGACTAAATTATATACAACATGTATTTATGGCGGCAGGGGCAGATGGCGAATGATAAGGAGGCGGCTGACGTCTTTTGCAGTCTGCTCTTTGCTCATGGTTCTGACTGAGGAATTTGAAATGTACTCATATATGCCAACTTTCCACCAGTCCAAAACGTCTGGTGGAACGTCTGCCTTTGGCTCAATGCACGTGTGACAACACTGAGGGGGGTGACTCTTTTTGAACCAGGTTTGTTTTGCTCAGAATAGGCATCCATTCTAGATTCTAGGTTTTACTCTATATCAAGGGTGGGCAATTACTTTCTTTGGGTATGTATTTATTTATTTAACAAACATAAAGTGTTTTCTTTGGGTTTGTGGACATTCTTTATGGCAAATTAACACTAATAACATTTTTGGTTCATTAATAAGAACAGGTATAAAATGCCATAGTAGCACATATTAAGTTACAAACCGTCACTGGATAATGACTTCTTGGTCATTTAAAGAAGTAAAAGACCAGTTAGAGGTTCCCGGCTGGGAAGGGTCCGGTGGCTGCATTGAAATGTGAATAAGACCAAATGTGGCTCCCGGGCCACACTTTGCGCAGGTCTACTCTATATCCATATACTCTGATTATATCCTATGATTTAAGCATGTAGATGTGGAGAAGACGACTTTTTGAAGTTCCAACTGAGGATTGGTTGACAATTGCCATGGTCTAAATATTTCAGGCTCTACTAGAGTTTTTTCACACTACTGTCACTATGGTTTATCCAGACTGGCAGGATGTGTGGAAGAAAATGAATGGTTGATAAGAGAGGTCATACGACAGAAAACAGTCTTTCATCAAACCACTCTCTAAACACAGAAGACGTCTAGATGGGATACATTCTCATTACTAGTATGTGGCCTTTAACTGGTAAATGGTAAATGGAGCTATCCATTCCATTTACAGTTTTTTTTTCACTACCTTTCAAGGCCTTCAGACTGCTTCACATCAAGGGACCCTTCACCCACACATTCATACACCAGAGTGCGCAGACACTGGGGGAGAGTTGTCTTGTCCAAGGACATATGGCAGCATTCACAAACTGTGGGTCAATCGTTCAATCTGACTGACTGAGCGACAGGCCTGTGAGCATTTAACAACATATTCAAAGAAAATTAACAAAAGCAACTGTGAGAGGCAGGATCAGGTTGTAAAAATAAGTGATCATAAAAGTGACAAAACCTGTAATAGATAGAAATATGTTTTTCTTATTTTTGGTCTAACAAAAATATCTTACTTTGATTTCTCAAAGGTGAGATGTAACAAATATTCATAAAATCTAAATAAAAAAATCCACAATCAAAAGCCTTTACAAAAATGCATGACAGTGGAATTGCCAAAGACACATTTCTGTCATCACAATACATGATAGACAATTAAGTCGTCAAATCTACCTTAAAATGGAATGGATTAGAACAAGGACAAAAACACACCTCCTGCTGTAGAATAGAAAATAAGAGATACATTATTTGGTGCACATTCTCTAAACATCATCTATCGGACATAATGGCGGTGTACTTATGTTTATTCTAAATGTAAAAATCCCCAGCAACATTTGTTTAGCATTGTGTCCGTCTTCTACTGCTTCTTCTTCTTTTCTTTCCCCGTCCCCTCTCTCGTACTCCTTCTCTCTGCATCACTAACGCGCCACAGATTACTCCCAGCGGGGCGCCTCTCAGTGAATTGCGAGACTGGGCCCGGGTGAAAAGAGGCAGATTCAGACAGAAAACTGCACCGCCTGGTTATAGGAGCTATATTCTTGGAGAGACTGAATTAAGGCACAACAAAAGGGGAGCCGGCAGAGCGGTGGGGAGCTGGTGGTGGATGGAGATCGAGGCGAGAGAATTGTGGAGGAGTGTAAAAACTGAATCTGTAGCATTTGGATGAATGTGAGAGAAGATATATTAGGGAAACGTTGCAGTCATTAGATGTACTGGCACTGGTCAGTTTGTAAAGATTTAAAGGTTATCATATAAAATGTATTGTATTTTGAGACTACAGTAGCATAGCCTCCGGGGATCAATAAAGTATCTATCTATCTATCCACCCATCAATCATATGTACCATTGCTTTTAGAGCTCAGATTGAGGACAGATCCAACCCTAGCCGTGGACTATGACTGGGACACTTCAATTTTAAAATTGACTTTCAACACCATTCATGAACATCAATTACCATTTATGGATGTGTTTGTTATCATTGTATTTCCAATGTGTTCAAACAGAGAATATGCTTGATTCTCTGATCTGTGTTGGTGAATGGACAGCTTTCCTCCGAGATAACTACTGTTGTGATTTAAGCAAAGATAAATTGACATTTTCCCGCTAAAACTCCAGACCACCAACAGATCCATTTGAACCTTTTATCTCAATAGTTTCTTAGACTTTTTGCGACATAAACTTTTTGCCATGAATGAGAGAAGACGTTGGCTGGTGCTCTGTCTATCTTACTGTAGTGCCTGATGCCCTGGTCTCCTTTGGTGCTTCAGCTGAACGACTGAAGGACCAAAGAGGGCGCAACAGAGGGTTCTCTTGGCAGGGTTTAGGGACGCCAACAACATAATTGAAAACCTTACATTTTCATATATCAGTTTTGTGTGTGATGTATATTATATAAGCATAAGGTGGCATGGCCAAATCAATACAGAACATTTTATTTTGTCTTGTTTTAGATCAATTTTGAGATAGAGATAGTCATATACAACATGTCACATACTAATGTTCATGTAGAGTTTTCAACATTGTAGATCCATTTGGTTTTGTCACCCTCTCTTTCTCTCCGTCTCCTGCCTGTGTCCTTCCCCAGATCTATTTTTATCCTGTTTTTGTATTCTCTGTCCCACTTTAGCTTCCCGCTCCTCCGTTTGTGGGTCAGAATTTCGGCTTTACCTCAAATCTTCAGCTCCCGGGACGCTCTCCAGCTCCTCGTACAAAATCTGACTAATCAAAATGAAAATCTGCATTGGCAGCTGCACAAATCTCTCTGTGAATATATGGAATCCGTTTAATTTGATGCGAGTTGCTTCGAAACATTATTTGAATGAGCAGGGATACCGCTTGGCAGCAGCTTTGGTGCAAATTCACCCTCTCCATCTGTGCATCGTTTGGGCATGTGCAATCTGTTTCTTTGTTATTGTAAAAAAATAACAAAGATTTGTGTTTTCGAATTGTTTTTTCAAATCTATATCAGTCATTGCGGATAGTAGACTTGGACACAGTATGGATAAAGGAATTGTCGAACAAATGATAGGATTTGAATGATCAAAAATAATGCCAAAACATACAGCTGGACTTCTTGCATTGTTCAATCAATCTTTACGTCTTTAGACCTCACTTAATAAACATTAACCACCCCATCTTAAAAGGTACTCCCCCCATATCATACAATTTTGCTCCCCTAAATTGCCAAAATGTACCCAGATCAACATACAGAATGTAAATATTTTTCATTGAAGAAGAGGTGTTGTGTGTAAACTTTCGCTTACCGGTTTCGACTGGATTTCTTTGGCGTAAAGTGGCTCCAGAAACTCAGAGTCTCCCTCCAGCTTCAGGCCTTTCTCTGTTATTCTCAGTTTCCCCATGCCGTCCTGCAACAGACACAAAAGAAAAAGCTCTGTTTAGTTGCCGTTAAAATTAAGACTTTAACAATACTTTCAGATTGTATGCATTATTCAAAAAATGGCTATTTTTAGGGGTACTTTTTTCAACATAGCTTGAGCACCCCTAAAAATGGGCTAGCTTTGCCTCTGAGTCAGACATTGTTCACAGCAGTCGTCTCTAATGACATCACAGAATTTTATCGTGACACTGCCACAAATGGACATAATGGGGAAATTGCCTGTTTGGTAGAAAATATGGTTTTTGTGTTATTTTGAGAGGGCTGTGTGAAAAGAAGAGGCAGATATGATCGGCATCCATTAAACCCGATCAGTGTAAGGCTTTGCGTCATTATCACAGCTTGAAGATATGGGGAGACGATTCTCATCTCTGTCCAAGAAAACAACACATTTTCAGGTACACAGGAGAGAACAATGGAACTGCAAGTTACTGTAGTAGTGAGAATATAGAAGTCATCCATTGCATAGTAATATTGCTATTTATTTTGAGACTTTCGGGCAAGATACAAGGCTAAAGGAGGTGGAGGTGATACGGTTCATTGTCAGTATGCAGGAATGGAACTACAGTATATAATTAAAGAGGCCAAATGATTACTTGGAGATTTTTACAAACAAAATTAGTTCAGTTATGTTGGAACTGAAAGATTTCCTATCCATCTTGTGGCAATCATGTTTTTGGCATTCCTAAACCCTGCCAAGATAACCCTTTGTTGCACCCTCTCAAGACAACAGTAAGATGGACAGACTTTGTTTGTTTAGAATTAATTGAAAAACGTGTTGTTTTTTTATAACATAATTCATAACATGCTACGGTAGCTCCCATTTACCTTTTACCATGCTGCAAGTTAATTATAACTGAAAATAGTTGCAATTGGGGGCCACCAGAGATTTGCCACCCCTGTTTTGAATCATTTATAAACATGATTTTTTTTGTGTAGTTTTGAAGTGTCTCAGCTTCAAAGTGACATAAAGACAGTTGAAATGAGGTCTACGTCCCGTCCGGAGGATCATTCTCATCCGCATCACGTCCAAACCCAAAACACCGCTTGGAATTTCAACTTCTCCGACTCCGCTGGGGAAGAGATTACAAGCCACGAGGCAACGCGGCGACACGGCTCTGCTTTTGGGATTTCTGTAGGTCTCGATCCCTATTTGCTTGTCAAAACCTCAGAGATGCAGCGCTGACGGGGGAAAAAACAGTATTTCCAAGCAGTGATGGCGCGGCCTGATAGTTTTCACCGTGGGACTGAATCATAACGCAGATAAAAGGGAGAGGGGTCAGACATCTGGACTCAAAAAGAGCAAAGTGGTTACATCATGGCGGTGTAATATCCGCTGTTTCAAAGACACAATGGACTGGACCATTTCCACTGCAGTTGCTCCGAGCTTAAATTCAGCTTTTAAATATGACTCTGAAAATAAGTAAGGGATAATGTATATTACCCAGGTCATTATCGGAAAATAAGTACCGACAGGGCCAAGCGGTCTGCTTCCGCCCTGAAGGTAATGTGCGTAATATATATTATCCTTCTTATTATACGGCTTTGTACCAACAAAACACAACATAAACTTCACTCCACTTTTAGGAATGCCGAAAGGTCTATTTAATGACAGAAAGTAAAATAGTTCCCAAAGGCTTTCCCGTGGCTATGCGAGTAACAGTTAGGCTAGCAACTTCCAAACTAGAACTCTCTCGAACTGCATGAAAACTGAACAAAGAATTCTGAACATCAGCGGTGAGTGACCCAAACATAAACCTAACCTAAATCCATAATTCCAGCCTCTGCAAAGGTTCCTAAAATTTCCCCGGAATTTATTTCCGGATTTTTTGTGATAGCTTTTTCTCTCATTAAAACAGTATTTTTGTTATGAAAACCTTAACAGATACTTCTGAAAACCTCCGTTCATGTGTATTAAGAATGTATATATATAATGTATTCTCCGATTAACATTTAAATGTGTTGATTGATTGGTATTTGCATTTATTGAGCGTGGCTAGCTCCGATAGCTTCTCTCACAGTGGCCGGAACTACTTGTAATCTACACATCTGAAATACAAACAGGGGGTGTGTTGCCATGGACAGCGGTCATTATTGTTTTGAGAGGTCCGTTATAGAAAATAATGACCGGTAGAACGTTTTGAAATTACATTGAAATCAATGGAGCGTTCTACTGCTGCTGTGAGGAGCCGTATAATAAGTCCATTTACTTCTCTAATTCAACTTTCTGTTTGAAACTTTTGATAGCTCTTGTCATGTCAAATTATGAGTTAGAAAAAGGCAAAGACTATAATTATATTCTATACATAATTATACAATGCTTCTTATCTCATTCTGTACAATATCCATCTTGCTAACTCTGATCTTTAGACTTGAAAAAAAGTACTAATGAGCTGTTGTTCTTAAGAAATCTGTGTCAATTACTGTAATGTACAAGTCAATTACATGATGATCAACTCATACATGCAGACGCCTCCTGCATGACAGCCAGATCCCGTCAGAAGTCAAGCAGGGCAGGGTGGTTACTACTGTGATGGGAGACCTCTGGGAACACAGTGGAGCGGCTGTCACCACAGTGAGCGGAGTGAAGCTTCCTTGAGTTTCCAAAAAAGCTGATGCATTCTTTATCACTGTTATCAATGTGTGGTCAAAACACAAAAAGTTGCTTTCAGATACTTTTTTTTTTTAACAAACCCTATGATTTTTACCAACCTCCACAAACAGTCACGCTATTCCTCCCTCTTGTGGAAAACTGTCTCTTCCATTTCTCTAAAAGCTGTATCTGCTGCTCATGTCGAACCATCGCATGCATAGTAATTTAAAACCATCACCAAACCACCAGTGAATCAGAACATCTTCCATCTTGAGTCAAATACACCTGGAAAAGCATCCAGCAGTTGTGTCTCGGTGGAGCTGACCTGACAGCAGTTCAGCGTTGTCTATGGTAATAAGAAAAGACTTCAAACCTGGAGTGATCTGAACCTTTGTCACTCTGAAGTAAGAGCGTTTTAAATATTCAACACTTGAAGGTGCACTCTGGCTTTGGGCTTCTCCTGTGCACTGCAAAAAGAAGTACAGAGTGTCTTCACGGTTTAAAATCATGTTCAAACATTTCAGGATGTCAAGATGTGTTTACAGTTTCAGTGGAGCTTGAGACTGGTCTGCTGTTCTGTGACACGCATATGGAGCATTCTTGTAAATCCTTGTATGACGTATATGTGTTGCACTTGTAAAACACTGAAGCCATTTTTCGTTTCCCTCCACGTACAATGGTGACAAAAGCGAAGAAGCCAGTCTGTGCCTTCCGCCCATCCACCATCACTCATTATTACTATTACTAGGATTACTACTGCAACAACACATCATCAGTAAGGTAAAACTAACCTGTCTCACGACGGTCTAAACCCAGCTCACGTTCCCTATTAGTGGGTGAACAATCCAACGCAAGAAGAGCCGACATCGAAGGATCAAAATGCATTGTCGCTATGAACGCTTGGCCGCCACAAGCCAGTTATCCCTGTGGTAACTTTTCTGTAGCCTGGCTCTGCCAGACCCTTGTAGTTCCGCCATGCTCCATCAGAGGCGTTTGGCTGAACCACATGGGTCTGGTATTGACGCCATAGCGAAAGCCTTCCCCAGATTATTTTTTAATCGACCAATCAGGATTGCCGGTGTTACGTGGGGTTTGCACTACCTTCTCATGCAGCAGCGAGAGGAATCCAAGATGGCGGACGTAAAGTCGGCGAATCTTTTTAAAAGTGTAAATACGATCGAATTAAGACACGGATGTCACTTTTAACACTAGGAGCGCCCCTAGCGGTCAACTGACCGTCACTCACTTTAATATGCTAATTAGTGTATTCAAAACAAAACGCCAGAAGTTGAAATTTTATGACTTTTACTAGGTACTTGTTGTTTATATTTTTGTGTGTTTTGGTTTTGGAAAAAGTAAAGAAAACAAGATTTACACGCATTTTAACTTTTCTAAACCACAGCCCTTTCTGCTGCCCCATGGAGATACATGGCGCAGGGGCGACTGTTGTCATAGTAACCTTTCCCGGGGGTTTTTCGCGCCTTATAAAAATGTATCAATATGTTGTCATTAGACTCTAAAGGGACTTTTTTATTATTATTTGGGAGAGAGAGAGGAGTACAAAATGAATAGAGCTGCAAGTACACGGTAGAAGCCCTGACAGTGCTTCAAGACATTGAATGAGAACAGTCTGACGGAGGTGAGAGATGTCACATTTTGAGGTAGAAAGTGACAGCGGGGAGAACACCTATAATATTCTAAATCTGAACGTAAACCCGTAGTGCATTCACGGCACGGACAGCAGTGTTGTAACAAGTCCAGAAGCAATAACGCACATGACCCGCGTAACGCCAGCCATACGCAGGTGTTTGTGTGCGCGCTGTTGCTCCATTCTGCCTTTTCATTCATCATCAATTACATTATTATATTTATACATACAAGAAGGCAATACAGCAGAATACAATATCGCAATAAAATAGAACAATTAGATGAACTATCAAGGCAGAGTGCAGATAGAGCGCTGTGAGGCCTCTCGTCACCCGCGGACACTGCAGGAGGAGAGCGACTGTGGGTCAGAAGCGGCCCTCATCATATCAATAAGGATATAATTCTTATTTCATCCAGATAACACTGTGTGTTATTCTGTACAGCGCGCACTGCAAGGCAATGATTATAATGTTGTTCTGAGCATAAAGAGCACTGCTTGTCTCAAATAAATACAAATATATATATACATATATTTGTCTTTCTAACGTGTTCTGTGTAAAATTGAAGATTGTACATTGGCGATGGTAGCCTAGCTGATGATCTTGTGTCAATACGAATATTATTATTGTCTAGATAATATTTCCCACGGTGATTTCGGCCTCTAAAAAGAAAACAGTCTGGAGATGACGTAAGAAGTAGACGCATATAGCAGCGCGAAGACGTTATGGTCC